TTATTTTTATCAACAGATTTTCCCAATGTCTTCTATAAACTGCGAAAACCGCATCTGTTTATCGTTTGTGTATCAAACGTTATTCTGAAAAGAGTTTGCTGCATTATATTTTTTAATGGATAAATAGTACCAGAGTCAAAAAGCAGTGCACTCGGATGCTTCTGAATAACGTTTGACCGGAATGTGCTAGAGAGGTCTGATTTTGGTCATTTTGAAGTAAATTCATGGGGCTATTGAACGACTTAAAAATGATCTGAAGACTATCAGTTTCAGGAGGTGTACCTTTTCGCACAAATCCTGGTGTATCCCCGACAGGATCCTAATAAAAATTTTTGTTCTAAATTTACACCCAGATACAGCAACGTCTGCTCTACAATAAGCCAGTTTTGTCAGAGAGGCCTCTGTCTCTTTTCGTTTGATAGCCATAGGGAATTAACCGGGACCACCTGAGCTTCCTTGGGACAGACCATTTTTAGGGTTTGAAGCCTCAAAAATATATGGAAACATAGGTTTTCAACTATGCTGATCCTCGTGGTAGTGTTTCTTTTTCGAAAAAAGTTCAAAAACCAAGTGAAACCTTATACTAGGTGAAATAACCCATTTCTGCCCATTTTCATGTAAAATTAGAAAATTCATACCTTGGTCAGAATTGATCTAGACTATGTCACGATACCAGATAGACTCTATTTTATCTGCGACGTACCATGGAGTTCAATAGAACTTTTCGTAACCAACTTAGAATACATAGGTTTTTCTAGAAATCTTCAAAGTAAGAGAATATTTTATACTATTCTCACCTACAGAATCGCTTTGAGCAAATAAAATAGAATATTTAATTCTGGTAAATCTTCTAATCAAAGATAGTCATCTATTATAAGAGAGGGAGAGAGGGTTAAGTAAATATTCTTCATATATTGCTTTATGGTCCAAGTCCAAAGACGAAGTTTTGATGATAAATAAACCAGTCAAGAATTTGTTGTAAAACCAATATTACTTCGAGTTATAATATCTGAAACAGAAATCATTTTTGGGATAACTAACTCATATTTGTCTCGAAAAGTCTCAAAAATAGATTTAACAGATAAAATCTTATTAAAACAGATCTTCAACGTTAAACATAAGAGAAAGGAGCTATGAGTAAGAGACACAAAGAACACAACCGTCTTTTACGTTGTGATAAAAAGCTAAACTTAGAGAAAATTGAAATTTGTTAAATAGATGCTGTTACCTTTTTCAACCAAGTCGATTAACACTACAATAATGATGAAACATGTGAAATTTGCTGTTGTCAAGAATGAAAAAGTAAACATAGTATGTACAGAAAGGGTAAAAAAATGAAGGACTGCATGCAAAAAGAGTATAAAATCATGAGCTTTTTGCTTTTCTCATTTTTGCATCCGAAGAATAATAGTGGTTTTAGCGCAATATTAACTAAAAAAAGTGCATTCATAGCTGCTTTGTATTATTGCCGCAATAAAAGAAGTCCCCATTGCTACTCATACCAATGGGAAATGCAGTTCTGTCACACCATTGTTTTGTTTGAAGTTGTGGAATTGGCTTCAACGTTTGCTTTTCGTTAAAACTTTGTAGACCTTTTGAAATAACGTATTTGTCCAAATTTGATATACAAGTTTTAAATATATTTATACAATCGGACGGTATATGCAATAATAACAATTGCGTTTGATCTTCTTTTGTTCTTTTAATTATACTTAATATTTTAAAATAACTGTTGACTAATAAATGTCGCACTCGAGTCTCTTGTGCACCAAGATCAGTTGACTTTGTAGCCATGTTTGATGCAATTAAATATCGTGTATTTTTAACTAATTTCCCACCCATTGAACTCATATCAACAGGCCTTGGTTCTTTTAATATTTGATTAACTGTATACTTCGATAACAGAGTATGAGATATATCAGCATCACGATAATAGAATGTCACGCCGGGATATGTCTGGTTGTATGCATATTCCAATGATTTAACTAATAGAGGATCCATTTTCGATGTTGAATAAAGAGAAATCTAAATTTAATGTTAAGTAAAGGTTTTCGCTTACGTAGTTATCATTGTAAACATTTACCTGCTTGAAATTCGCACCAATATTCGACCTGTTTAACAACAACAACAAATTCATAATCATCTTTATTTCTTAACTCACAAAGCATGTAATATCTCGAAAATCAAAAACGAAAATAACATCATATCAGTTAGCAGAAAGAACATGACAGTATTGTATCAAATAAGGTATATCTTTTTAACGTTTAAATCTTGCAAATGTCACCTAAATGTTTCATTCGGCGTGAGTAATGCTACTCACGATGCTAATTCCACAAGCAAGTTGAAACATGTGCCAAGTTTGATGTTTATTTTTTTTCTTTTACTTCGTTGTTCTGTTAACACGAGCATGTATTTTGCTTTTGTTCTACTCGAGCAGAGCGGAGAGATTATTTTGTTTCGTTCTGTTACCCTCATCATTCTGTTTCATGTTGATACAAATGAAGAAAGAAGGAAAAAGCGTATAGGTCAATAAGAGTACCCGAAGGCTTTTAATGGATTAAACCGAAGTCTAAAATCAAAAATATGTCCAAATGCATTTTTTTATCTAGAAATGGACAAAATCAAGGCTTCGGACTCCGTTATACTATTGAATGTATGTTAATGCGATTATGAACGTCTTTACATGCATTAAAGTGGAACGCATATGAATACCAAATTCTTTCATGTTTTCCTACACATTCTACTTTTTAATGAATACAACGCTGCGACACCTGATGATCAACGGCTTTGCATTCTAAATGCACTGGCATGCATCTGGCTTGTTAATACAAGTGATGGCGTTCTAATTTATTAACTGCCACTCATCAAATCTGCAAACAGATTAAAGATTTTATCGATAGTCATAAAATAATTGAAAAAGAACTTTACTTTTCAAAAGGAAATAAGAAGAACGTCATTCATAGTTATGCACAACTATAAAGATGACATCATTTATAATGCTCAAAGCGACAGAAAATCAACTTCTGTTTTGATAGGAAAACAGTATGTTTTGAAAACGTTCGTTTTTTATTCCGTCGCGTATTGCGTCATACAAACAACATTGCGTCAAACAAACTCATTTTTGAATGCGAATCGGTTTATGATGTTGGTAGGGTTTACTTTTCTAAGTTAAACCCTTTTCCAAATAATTTCATCACCAAAAGGGTTTATTGACTAATTTCGAAAGTGAGTTAAAAGTGTCTGAAATTTCCAGTTCTGTTCTTTTTTACTTTTAAAGAAACCATTGTTAGAGAAACCATTTTAAAAAACAACAACAATATGTAAATCACCCGAAACCAAACAAGTAAATTCCTAATGATGCAATAGGTCAACGAACCGCATTCTCGTGAAAGAAACTGCGAGTCAGTTGATTTCTGGTGATTCACATTTTGCTTTTTTAGTTAAAGTAGTTTCTTTAGAAGTAAAAGAAAATAGAGCTGAAAATTTCAGACACTTTTTTCGTCTTTCAAGTTATTCATCCAATGATAACATTGCTATAAATAATGCCGACTGGAAAAAATCATCATTCAGTCTCCTTGTTTTAAAACTTCTTTCACATTTCAATCATCTAAATGGCTTCAGCGTGTATTCCCGCATTTATAACAGATTTTGCAATGAAACTGATGAGTTAAAACAACTTAAGACAGACAGGAAAAAGGATACTACTGACCTGAGTACAATATTGAATCGGAGTAAGTGATTTTAGTGAAATGAGTGCTTATCAATGTAACACTACGATAATTATAGGTTATAAAACAGCTTTCATGATACTGAACACTCTTCAGCTTTTCCATAATCTACTTATACAAAGTTCTAATACTTTCAAAAGCTTTCTTCGAACGAGTAAACTTTAGCTGATAAAGAGATTATTGAGAAATGTTCTTCGATTGAGCGAACGCACTATTGAAACCACAATTAACCAAATTAGGGAATGGACGAAAGAAGACTATTCCACACCAAAATAGCATCATCTCGCACTTGATTACAAACTAAAAGTGAACGAAACGCATACACGAGTCGAAAAAGTGCAGAGAAAAGTTCAGAATAAATTGAAAGAACAGCACCAACAGCTTCAAGAACAAAATCGATTATGCGCGAAGTTAAATTGTGCCGCAGATGTGAATCGTGAAACCCATACGAAGTAGCATGGAAAAACGATAAAACGATGTGAATCTATTAAAACTGATTTGGAGAAATCGTATACAGATTTGACAAAAGCCAATGAAAAATATACAGTCACAGTACAGACACAAATACTTGTGAAGAGCTACTGAGATTTAGTGGATATGAGCACCAGCAATCAAATACCAGCACCCGAGTATCTCAATCCAAAAGCGTTTGCTTACGAAAAGCGTGCTTTTCCGATATTACGCTTTTACCTACGAGTGCAATATATCCGCAATGTTTAAACTACAAAAACATTTATCCGAGCATGGATCGCATCAAATTAGTAAAAATATCTTGCTCGAGAAATTGTTTCCCACAAGAAAATCTAATTTCGTTTCTTAAAATCTAACTGGAAAAAGAGACGTAGTTACTAGATACAGTGTAGAGTTGACAACAAACTTTTAGAAAAATGCTTATTAGAAAACTTATTAGAAGAAATATTGAAACAAGATGGAATGGTTAATGAAGAAGTTAAGAAATTTATGATTGCATTTTGCGGAGAAATTATTTATGCATCGAATTCAACAGAATATATCGAGACATTAAAGGACTGTATATGTGACCGAAATTCGTTTTCGACAGACACGGATTCAAAAGTGCACATTGTTACATAGCGAAAAACTGAGCCGAGATTAGAACATGAAAAGTTTTTATTCGGAAACAATTGCTGTTATCATATTTGATAATGACACGCTGGTTATTGAAACTTACCATATATTTTGCGATTTCAAGCGGAACTACTTTCCGCTAAGATTTTAGCGAACAACGGTGGAGCGATGCGTTGTAACAATAGTCCTCCATCACATATAGTTGTACCATACAACAGATATACGGAGACATTTGACGTTAATCATTGATCTCATAAAAACTCATAGACAATTGAAAATTTTGTTTAGTTTTTCAACAAGCTCATTGTGTAACGCAATATTAATGGAAAATGCATAAGAAAGAATAAATACATCCCGAACAAATAACCATGGAGAATATGTTAATATTTATAATCGATTATCAAAGAATGAAGAAATGAAGATGAGAATCAAGAAAGCGATATTAGATCAGCGATTAGTAGTAGTAGTACACGCGGCCGACGACCAAATACTCAATACAATGATTTTATTTTTCGGCCAAGAATTATTAGATTTACAAAATCAAATCGACGTAGTAAAACTCGTAAAACACATATTCCTACAGAAAGCATTCGTGAGAAAATTACCGG